GAAAGAAGAAATAACATAAGGAAAGAGAAATAAGAGAAAATAAAATTTGGATAAACAAATGAAAAAATTTTTATTCTTTTTTGATAAGTTTTATGTAAAATAGAAAATAAAAGAAAAAAAAAAGTAAGGGAATGAAATTTAGAAAAAAAAAAAACGCTTTTTTTTTTTGGTTCTGTCATTCGGAATGTCTTTCCTATCTATCCATTCCGGATAAATCATTTCTGGCTTCTTTTTCCGGATATCATTTCCTGTCCTTTCATTTCGAATGTGCTTTTTGCCTCCTCATTTTGGAATGTTTTTTTTATCAAAAAAAAAAAAAACATGCTATTGCCATAAATTTAATATACTGTGACATTTGCTTTTTCTCTTTTCTCTGTGCTCCTCTCTCTCTCTCTCTCTTCCTTCCTCTCTTTTATAGCATTTCTTTTCTTTAATTTGATCATTTGATTACAGCTACTGAAATGTTAAAGGTTGACATACTTCGAGAATATTCCACAAAAACACGAATTTTGACAATTTTTTTTCTCTTCCATTAAATTTGTGAAATTTTAAAAATATGTCATTTCTTAACTTTTCATCATTATAAATTTATTTATTTACTTTTTTTTTTTTTTTTAAATCAAATGTGTAGCATTAATTATCAAAAACGTAAAGAACGCATTAAATAGAAACATTTCATTTTAACAAAACTACTACTTCCAATAAATTGATTGAATTAAACTTTTTAAAAATTTTAAATCAATCATTTATCGTTTATGTTTTTTGCTAAATTTTCATTTGTAAAATGAAGCATTATTTATCATCATTTCTTTTCTTTTTCATCTTTCCTCTCTTTTTACTCTTTCTTTCTTTGAAATAACATTTAAAATGTTTGTTTGTTTGTTTTTTTTTTCTTCTATCATTGTTTAAAATTGACAAATATACAAATACAAAATGAAATAAACAAATATTACTTACTTCTTGCATATTTAAAGTAAGCAAATATTACTACTTCTTATTGACTCGAAATAAATAGGTAAATATTATTGCTTCCTGTTTACTTTTTATTACAAATAATATTCATTGGGAATATATGAGATAAACACATACTGTAATTAGTATAATTAGATGTTATTATTATTGTTGCTATTATTATTATTGTTATTGTTACTGTTGTTACTATTATTATTGTTATTGTTATTATTATTACCATCATTAGTGTCATCGTTATTGTTATTAACTCAACTAACATAATGATTAATTTCAAACTAAATGAAAATTCTGAAATAAAATTTAATTTTGCTTAATATTTACAAAATATTCTCCATTTCATCCTTCATTTTCTCCAATTATTAATTTAATTCAATTTTAAATGATCGATTTCACAACTCTCTCTCCTTCTCCCTCTCTCTCTCTCTCTCTCATTCATTCATTCATTCATTCATTCTCTCGATCCATCGATCATGCTATCCTCCATTCTGTTCCATTCAATTCTCTCAACTAAAATGATTTGAGAATTATGTTCATATTGGATGTATCTGTCTGTATCGATGATGGGTGTATACCGCCCAATGCGCAATACTTCTGCGCCATTATGTCCTATCATATATGTCAGTTTGTCTGTCTGTCCGTTGTTTTGTTGTTGTCATTTGAAAATTTAAATTTGAAACGATCAATCGACCAAACGACCTATCAAGCGGCCCACTAACCGATCAACAAAGACCAACTAACTAACTAACTAATCAACTAACTAAACAACCAAACCAACCAAACCAATCAATCAACCAATCAACCAACCAACCAACCAACCAACCAATCAACCAAACAAGCAACGAACTGATGAAATTAACAATCGATTTTTCGTTGACGTTAGTTATTGAATAGCCAATGGTGAAGAAGGATGTAGAGTAGAGTAGAGTAGAGTATGCTGCTAAGTCTTATTTTGCTGTCTATATTAAAGCGATTGAAATTATGTTTTTAACTATAAATGACGTAATTCTAGTAAAGTAATATTGATTATATACGTGAAATATAAGCGTTTTGACGTATTTATTTTATTGTTATTGAGAAAAAAAAAGTGAAAGAAAGTAAGTAATTTGGCTTATTTTACAATGTTTTAATTATTATTATATGTTAATTACATACTATGTAATAAAGATAGGATGAAATTGAAAAAAAAAAATTTTTTTTTGACATAATGAAAATTTAATTGAATTAATGATTTGTTTGTTTGTTTATTTGTTTATTTGTTTATTGATAAAATTTATACTACATGAAGAAATTTTAATAAAATATGTGGAAGAAATGGAAAATTTAGGTTTATGTTGATTAACTTTTGATATATATCAAGTGATAAAATGAATTGAAATAGAAGTGTTCTTTTTTTTTTTTTCTTTTTTTTTTGAATGTTAACTTATAATCTATGAAAATATACTTAACGTTAAGGTATGAAAATATACTTAACGTTAAGGTATGATTTTTTTAATTTTTTTTTTTTTTTTTCTTTTATGAAATCTGTTATACGTTTACAAAAATTACTACTCTAAATAAATCATTCGTTTTATAAAACTTCTATTTCATTTATATATAAATATATATATATATATATTTTTTTTTTCAGAAAAACTAGCATATAAGACAATTGTTTTTACGGTAAATTTTTTCCGGATTTATCAATCGGATTTTGAAAGCAGTAACGAAATTATTATTTATAACGAAATATATCATTTCGTAAGTTATATATTCATCTTATATATATATATATATATATATATATATATATATATATAAATGTGTATGATTTATACTAATGTTAATTTAGCTAAGATTTTCCATTAATATTTTATTAATTTTTTAGTCTCTTTTAAATTTTTTAATTTATCAAATTTACATTTCAGACTATATTAGCTGTATTTAGTTAGCTTAATTTAACTTCAATTTAATCCATATTTTTTTCATCAATCTCATCTAAGCTCACTTCATTTTTTCATCATTTCAATTTTTGATCGAATTAATTAGGCTCATATTTTGCATATATCATCGTTTCATTCACAATTTTCATTCATTATAATTGCATTCTATTCGATTGCATTCATTTTTATGTTCATTTCTACTCTATTTATTATAATTTTTTTTTATCTTATTCAAAATTTTGTTCACTTCAATTTAATTAAATTCAAATTACTTCTCACCAAAACTTTGTATGAATGCAATTATAGCAAAATTCATTTGAAAGCATCTAAAAAAAGAAATCATATGTGTAATATAGAAGTAAGAAATTTTTTTTTTCCCATAAAGGATAATTTTTTTTTTTTTGCACAGTTTAAATTAGATTTAAAAATTTATTTTATTTCCTTTCAACTCTTCAATTTTGAAATTTATCTTTTTATAAATGAAATGAAATTTTTGTGATAATGATTTAATATATTCAATGATAGATGTCTATGTATCGTGAAATGATTAGGAGTAAACAGGTAATAATTGTATGTAAACTTGTTTATTGTTTTTTTTTTTATGGGAAAAAAAATTACAGAAATTAATTAATATTAATGAAGGAGATGGAAGAAAATATGAATGAAAAAAAAATAAAATATGAAGTAAAAATTTTTAAATTTTTTTTTTTTTTTTAAAAAAAAGGAAAAATGAAGAGAAATTTAAAAAAGAAAAAAGAAAAATATGGCTAATTAAAATTAAACTCATACTTTAAATGTAATTATATTGTTTAAATATAGCTTTATTGCCATTTTTTTTTCTTTTATTTTAGTATTATAAATTTTAATGTGAAAAAACTAAGGTAAGTACATTTTTAAATTATTTTACAAAAGTATTAAAAAAAAAAAAATTAATTAGTTTATGTTTTTTTGATTTATATCAGAATAGATAATTTATCTTTTACCCAATTAATTAAATGCCCAAAATACTAACTTTACTTTCTCTTCGTATAACTCTTTCTTTTTCACAATCCTAAAAAACTAATTTAGCTTAGAACTAATTAGCATACTAAATTATATATACTCTTGTAATTGTAAATTAAAATGTTTAATTATTTTTGCTGACTATTAATTAATTTTGCTTGTAAACAAGTCATTCATTAATTAGTTTATTAATTTCTTTTAGTATTATTGATTTTCACTTATTCTATCCAATTCTTGTTTTATGTTGTTCATTATATAATCTGTTTATCACTATAAATTAATTAATTCAAATGATTTTTGATATATGTATATGGCATATATGTGTACAATTTTTTAATTTTAATTCTTTATTTTTTTCTATTATTATTTTATTAATTATTTTTTTTCTCGTTTTCATTTTATTTTAAATTCACTCATTCATATTCAATATTTAACTAATTTTTTGAACGATTTAATTGAAATGATTGATCAGTTGATGTCATAACAAAACGGATCATTCAAGTATATTTAAGAAATAATTTGTTGCTATACTTATCCTTGTTCTCGTTAAATTTAATTAATTTCTTTCCTTCTTTTTTTTTTTTTTTTTTTTTTTTTAGAGTTAAAACCTTAGAACAAACTTTGTGAATAATTAATTCAATTTTGCTCTTTTATGCTCAACTAATTCATCAATCTTTAAATGCATTATTAATACTTTTTATATTATTGATGTCATTTTTTTTTTTTTTTTTTTTTTTTTGGAATTATTTCATTTTATAATTATTCATATATTTTTACTGATTTTTCCTCCTTTCGAGTCTAAATTTTTTTCTATCTAAAAAAAGAAAATGAAACTTTCTAAATTTTCCTTCTAATCTACAAATAAATATTAAGAAAGAAAAAGATAAAATGTGTGATTAGCTTATGATAAATAATTTGGTTTAGATATATTATATTTACATTTACTTTTAAATGTATTTAATTTTAATAATAAACAATTAAGTATTTAAAATGCAATTACATTAGAAAATACATTATTGCACTAAATGATCAAATAATTTTATAAAAATAATGTCATAAAAATAATTATTAACATATTGGCGTTTTATAGGGCGTGCGGATTGCCGGATGGCGATGCCGCCGACATCCGCAGCCGGAAAATTCGATCATGATTCTTCCAGTGTTGATACTGTAAGTTGTGTTTTTGAAAATTTTTCGATTTTAAAAAAGCGATCAAAAGAATTGGTTAAATTTGATGATAATGCTAACACTTATATGACCATTTGATCATTTATAATCATGACCATTTGATCTTTTGTATTTGAGATTGTTAATATATTTGTGTTATTATTATTATTATTTTCCTAACAGTTTATTATTATTATTTTCTTAACAGTTTATACGAAACTAACTAAAAGTTTTTTCTTTTATTTCTTTTATACTATATGCACTTATTTGCTTATTTATTTATTTATTTTTTCATACAATTAGCACAGTCATTAATTAATTAATTAATTCTTTACATCGAATGTGAATAATTCGTAATTATTGTTTATTTGCAGATAAATTTACGATTGATCTTAGTGAGTGGAAAGACAAAAGAATTTCAATTAGCATCAAATTCCTCAGCTCTTGATATAACTCAATATGTATTTGATCATTGGCCTGATGGTTTGTTGATTATTTCATTTCTTTTAAAATAATAAATTCTATCTAAATTAAAATTATATATGTAAATATGTGTGCGAAGATTAGATTAATTAGTTTCAATAATATTAATTAATAGGTAAAATAATAAGGAGAAATAAAGAAAATGATCTTTTTTATTAGAATTATTTAAAATTAATGATACTTTTTTAAAATGAATATGAAAGTTGATGAATTATCATATTTTTTTTTTCTCTTTTCAAAGCAAATTTAGTAGAATATTCAGCAGAATTAAACTGTGCTATTTAATTTATTTTTAAAATTATAGTTTTTGTCATTTTGAATGACCTTTTTTTTTTTTTTTAATAAACAACACACGTGTTATATTATTGTGATACGTATGATATTATTATACGTCATTTTAAAGATATCATAAACGTGATGATATTATTATACGTCATTTAAAAGATATCATAAACGTGATGATAAATATATTATGTTAAATTGTAGCTCTTATTATTATCAAATTTTATTTCCTTGTTGATTTTTTTCATAAAAGAAATGATAATAAAATATGATATTTAAATAATTTAATTTTGCAACATTTATTATTATAAACATATGCATTATATGTATTTATTTAAACATTTTTAATTTTATTATAATATAATAATAATTAATAAAATATTATTACTAATTAATATAATATTAAATTTTCTTTTCTTTTCTTTTTTTTTTTTGTTTTTTCTAGAATGGAATGATGAGCGTGTAAATTCATCATCAATGCTAAAATTAATTTATCATGGACGATTTTTACATGGTAGTGTTACCCTTGGTGCATTATCATTACCAGTTGGGAAGACAGCGGTTATGCATCTTGTTACCCGTGAAAATTTACCCGAATCTACCACTAATGGTTTTCTTTTTTAATTTTATCCCTGTTCTTTTTTTTTAAAAAATAAAAGTAACTTTTTTTTTTTTTTTAGTTTGATAAAAATATGAGTAGGTTTGTTTATAAGAAAAAATATCATCAATTAACAATATAGATAATTAGCATTGAAAATTCTTAAATAGTAATTAGCTGAATGAAATATGCAAAATTATAGATTACAAACATTAAATTATTAGTCTCTTTTTTTTCATCTTTCCTTTGATATAAACTAATTAGCAGTGAAAAAAAAAACGATGATAATAATAATTAGATAAATAAATAAACAAATAAGTAAATAAACAAATGAATAAATAATATAAAATCATTGATAATGTTAATAGGTAAAAAAAAAAAGGGTAATAGATTATAATATGAACATATCTTATCTGTTTATCAAATTCATTTTATCATTTTATTTTATCACTTTTCATTTCCTTTTTCTTTTGTTTAATTAGGCTAAAATGCAATGGTACACAGATTTTCTTTCTTTTTTTTTTCCATTTCTATAAATTATTAAGAATAATTCGAAATTCTTTACAGTATAATAATATATTTTAAATTTTGATAGAAATATAGAATTAAAATTAAGTGATAAAAAATGGTATCAATAAATATTTCATTAATATATAATTTTTTTTTTTGGAAAATATTCAAATGTATAACTTTTTTTTTTCTTAAATTCATTATGATTGAAGAATTTTAGGAACATAAAGGATTTGTTTATGTTATCAAATCATTCATTTATTTAAGAGATACTTTTTTTTTTTTTTTTTTTTAGTATTTGAGTAAGAAATTTATCGGAAATTAATGAGGTATTAAATTATTTATTTCAGTGAAAAATACCATTCTTTTTCTTTTTGTATTATTTAAGTTATTTGAGTTAAATTTATTCATCCACATTCTTTTTTTTTTTTGTATTTAAAAAAATATAAAAAAATTCCAGAAAACAAGACAATATTTCCTTTTTTTTTTTTTTCTTTTTCAGATAATTTAAAAAAGATGAAACGTAATACATGCTGCCGATGTTGTCCATCATAAAAATGATCAAATTTTCTACTTCTTCAAACGATGATATCATTTTGTGTAGGATCAAATCGATTGATTGATTGATTGATTTCTTGCTGTCTGTTCAATCGATCATTGATTAAGACAACTCAGATATTCAAATGCGGTCAATCTCAGAAAAAGAAGAAAAAAAAAAAACTTCCAAATCTCTTAATGTATAACAAAATTTATTTTGTTTACAAATTTTTTAGGTTTTTTTGTACAGTACAAAGTGATTTGAAGTATATTTACCTTCAGCTTTTTCTTTCATTTCATTTTGTAATAGGTAAATAAATAAATAAATAAATATAAATAAATAAACATTGTAAATGCTTAATTAATCAATTAATTGATTAATTAATTGCTATTGTATTTCTTTTTTTCTAGCAGTGCAAAACTTTGGAATAATAAAGACTGAAAAAAATGTAAACAAAACAAAGGGAGGAGAGAGAGAGACTATAAATTTGGTTCATCCTTTTGGTACTAAATGCTAATTGCTAATATTAAATTTAGATTATAATTTTAATCCAATCTTCTTAACAGCATCCATCATTCTCCCACCTTCTTTTCCTAACTAAATTAAAAATTATCATTAATGATGCATCATTCCAAAAATGATAAAATGTTAAGATGAAAAGTGATATTATCAATGATTATCATTCAACTACTCACCATCATCATTTATATTCGTAACTAATCAGTTACTTATTGATTGTAGATAGAATGAAAAAAAAAAAAATGCATTATTTGGTTATACATAATGTTATCAGAGGAATTTAATTTTCTTTCAATAATTAAATTTGGGGAACTATTCATTACCTAAGAAAAACTTAACAACAATACTTTACTTCTTCTTTTCTTTTTTCTTTTTTTGTTCTCATTTATATTAGCAAAACGTTTTGCTGTTCCTCTTTTTAGATTTTTCATTCATTTTTCATTTACATTGATAAATCAGCCTATTACATTAGCTTTTTTTTTTTTCTTTTTGACTTTTTCTTAAAAACAACAAAAAATTGTTCGATATGAAAAATATAATTTCCATTTTTTCCTAAGAAATTTTAACTTTTTTCTTTTTTTTTAAAAAAAAAAAGTAAAAAAATTTATGCATCAAGAAGTGAAAATACATGTAAACAAAGGATCAATTGTAAAATATTTTATGAAAACAATAAAATGAAAGGAAAAAAAAATTGGCAAAAAGAATGCAAAAAAAAAAGAAATGAAAAACAGAAAGAGCAAAATCTACAAGAAAAACATACATGTACACGATGACGAAATTAAATTTAATACAAATTTAAATTTATCGATGACATAAAAACACGAAAAGAAATAAGAACAAACTAAAATGGTAATAATAAATACATCATAGTTTTACAATTGAAATAAATCCATTGTACCATTATATATCTTCTAAAATTTACCAATATTAAAAATAAAAAAATAAATAATATAAATGTTTGAAATGACAAATTAGGAATTAGAATTTTGAAATAAGGAAAAATTAAATTAAGTAAGCAAGAAACAATAATACACGACAAATTCACTTTAATACACGACAAATTCACTCAAAATTTTAACCAATTTTTTTTTTTTTTTTTGTTGTTGTTTAAGATGTAGACTAGTTAATCTACTAAGAATTAATTATGATGATAATAATATATCTATAAATTAAACAGAGCTAACTGAATTAAATACAATACCTAAAAATCATTTTAAGCACTTTTCAATATCATTTCCTATTATAGGCTTCTTAACACTGATAACATTTTTGTTTCTTTTTCAAATTTTCATTGACTGTTATAAATTAGAAATCAATGAATAAAAATAATGCGAAATATTTTAGAAGCTACACACAATTTATTTCAGAACATTTTAAATGTATTCAGTACATGGATATACTATCTAGAATTTAATTTATTCATAGAAAATTTGAAAAAAAAAAAAAAACTTTTGAAATTTGAAATAAATCAAACTACGGCAATTCTTGTTTAATAATAATAATAATAAGCTGAAAAATGAGAAAAAAAGATAATTAAGTATGAAAAATGAAAATGGAAAAATTCACAAAAATAAATGGATGGCATGAAGTGGCTATTTAATCAATCATTTCACTTTACCTATACTGAACTTCGTTTCAAATTTCAACAGTTCCTCTTTTTAATACTGAGAGAAGGAGAGAATAAGAAATTATAAACTGTTTAAATAATAATAATAAAAAAAGAAAAACAATAACCTTTACTAATACACTACTTTTATTATTATTATTATTATTATTATTATTATTATTATTATCAATACTATTGCTACTATTAACTATCAAATAGGAATAGTAAGCGGTGTTAATCAAAAATTTTTTCTCAAATAAGAGAATGAATAATTAATTATAAACTAATTTATGATATACTATCAATGAATTTGAGTACATTTTGAGACCCGTCTCAATAATTGGGGAAAATGGGCATAAATGTAACGAAATGAAACGAAGCAAAGCGAAATTTACACAGAAACGATGAAAGCACAGTATTTTTCATTTCATTATTTGAACGCATGTATGAATACATTATGATAACATATGCATTACAATTTCAATTATTTCAAAAATTTGCAAAAAAAGAAAAAGAAAAAATCAAACAACAAACACTATTTCCAAACATCATAGATTTCTTTGCAAGTTACCCGATTGTTACCCGTTTTTACATCAAGTTATACGCTGATAGATTAATCTATCTGAAATTATTATTGTCATTATTAATATTATTGTTATTGAATGAAAGATCAATGACCGTAATTTGCTAGAAATTAAATGATTTTATGCATCATTTTTATTCAAACAAACATATTCAGGTAATTTACAGCTCATATACCGGAAAAAGGAGATTATTATTATCCATTATTCATTTTCTATCCTTGACCTGAAATATTCTCGGTCTATTTCCCTCTATTGTTATCACACTATTCACACAAAAATCAATCAATTAGATCATGTCTAGCTTTAAATCAATCATGAGACTACCTTCCTCCCGATTGCATAATATCTTCCTCGCGCTTTTGTCGTGCTAATTGCTCCAGTGTATTGGAGTACGGATTCTTGCCACTGTATAATGCCTGTTGTAAATTAGCTGCAGCTGCTGCATTACCAAGTGACATTAGATTAGAATTAAAAAGACCAGCTGCAGCACCAAGACTTTGCGGCAATCCTGCTGCCGCAGCCGGTCCAGGAATTCCACCTGGAGGTGCGGCTCCAGTTAAAGTATACGTTGATGGAAGACCACGAGACACATTATAAAGTTGCTGTTGTTGTTGCTGATGCTGTTGACGTTGCATTTCAAGTAGTGCTTCCAATGATGGTTGCGATTGTTGCTGTCGCATTTGTGCAGCGAAAAGTTGTTGTCGCATGAGTTCAAGATTCGGAGTTGGTGTCATTGATGTGTTACCACCTATGCCTGAGGTATTGCTCAAAGCAACCATATAACGATCCATCATTTGTTGCTCCATTTGCATACGCACCAAATCGAGAGATGATGGTGGTGGTGGTTGAGGTGCACCACTAACCGGAACATGTGGTCCGGTTGCAGTTGCAGCATTAGAACTCATTTGCGCAGCTGCAGCTGATTGTCGCAATGCTTCCATCTGAAAAAAAAAAAAACATATTATTCGATGGAAAAATTGAAAATAATACCACTGAAAAATTTTAGGAAAATCGAAAATCTTCTAAAAAAATAATAAATAAATTGCAAAGAGCTGAGAGAAACTTAAAAAAGTAAGAAATTCCCAAGACATTTTTTTTTAAGAAATCATTTCTCTATTTCACATCTTTTTCCTATATTTAGCTTTTTTTTTCAATCAAAGATTTGGACATTTCAAATTTTTCATATTTAAACTTTTTTTCAAAATAATTTCCCCATTTCACATTTAACTCAAACTGAAAACATGAAAATTTTCAGTAACGGATCTTAATCAACTAACTGATTGCATTTGCTGTAATATAGCAGCCATATTGGGATCAAATAATCGCTGTGATGAATAAACAGACTGCGCCTGTGAAGTAACTGCCGAAAGAGGATGCGGTTGACCAGATGCGGCAGCGGCAGATGGTAACAGATACGCTGTAGATGAAAGGGTACCATTCGGAAGAGCTGCATTCTGTTGGGCATTTTGCAATGCAGCAAACATAGCCGCTTGTGCGGCTGCCTCACTAGTACCATTGGTGAGGGAAGCGGTAGCACCAGGCAAATTTGGCGCTAGAGGTAAAGATGAACCAAGAACGCCGGGTAGGGCACTTGGAAGAGATCCTTGAAGCTGAGGCATAGCGCCACCAGCTGCAGCTGCGGCAGCCGCAGCTACCGCCATTGATGGTGCCATTAGACTACCAGCACCACTACCGGTATTACCACCACCAAGTTGCAAATGTAATGCAGAAGCTGTTGGACTACGACTTATTGTTGTTGTCGAACGACCTTGTGATTGCTTTGGTGTCGCACTGAAAAAATTTCACAAAATTTTCTAGTTTCATTTAACAAAATTACCTTCATTAGGAAAAAAAAAAGTGAATAAATTGAAAAATTAAAATTTGAATGAAATTATTTATTATAAATTAATTATAGATCAAAATATATCAAAAATTTCAACTAATAAATAAAATAACGGAGGCAAAATTTTCTCTGATGATATCAATCATAACAGTTATAGATCAATAATAATAATAAACAATCATAATATGATGGATTATTATATTATTAATAAATAATCCCAAAATTAGTTGTATTAATTTAAGCTTATCCATTCTTTTGCTTGGTTAATATTTTTCTTTTCTCCTTTTTTTTTTTTTTTTTTTTCAATCAAAATAATAACAATATCATTATATTAAGTAATGAAATTTAGTTCCTGAAAAAAAAAAGTGTAAACTGTGCATACCTTTGACGAGCTAATTTACTAGAATCAGGAAGTTGTTGAAATGGTAGAGTAAATGGTGATGATAAAGCACCAGATTGTGCTAATGCAGGAAATGATGTTGGTAATCCGCTACCCAAACTGAAATTAATTAAGATGATAATTAAATATTATATTTCTTAGATAAAATAATCTAGCTAAGGAATATATGAGAAATTAACAAAAATATGCTAATGATTAATTCTATCAGGTATAAATTTTCAACTAAGAATTAGTTATTAGTTAGATTTTCTTTCTAGTGAAACAAAAAAGAGCCTAATGGAAAAGCAAAAAAGAAATAAATGATATTCTAACTACTTTAAATGACTTTATTTTTATTTTTTAAATTGATTTTTACAATTTGAATAAATTTATAATATAAAATTATGCAATTATGCTTTAGTATTATTATTTATTGTTACATATGGAAAGAAACAATAGCAAATTATAAATTTATGATAAAAATATATTTAAAAATGCTAACATAACGTAAAAACATTCACCTCTGTCATTCTACATTATTACTTCTCATTTGTTATTAGCGTATTTATTAATAAACAAATATATCCATACATTAAAATCTTATTTTCATCTCATTTTTAACATTTTAATGCATATATACCTCTTGAAAAGAATAAAAAAATTCAATTTCTTTACTTTTTTTTTCCCTGCAAATTTTACTTTTAAATTATTTTTGCAATAATAGCACAAAAAAAAGAGAAAGAAAAGAAATGACGTAGGTAAATAGGTTAATAATAAAATGCTAAAAAATATATGTATGAAAAGCTGTAACATTGTTTGAATAATTTAATAACTTTTTTTTTTTAAATTGAAAAGACCTTCTATTGATATTAAAGTCATTTATGAAATCAAATAAATCTTAATGAAATTTTTATAAAGAAAAAAAAAAAAAAAAAAAAACTAATTTATATTTCTCAATCAACAAAAGAAAAAAAAAAAAAAAATTTTTTTTTTTCTCTTATTTCCTATTAATTTAGATAGCTATAAGCATTCTTACCATATCCAATTTTAATACCTATGAAATTGAATCTATTATCTGTTTTTTTTCATCTAGCAAAAAAAAGAGAAAAAATAGTACAAAGTATTTAAATTTTTAATTAAGACTACTGATGAAATCTAACTATATTATTCATTTCATTTCTTCTTGTTTCTCAACAATTCTAAACTAATAATTACACCATATCCCCTCGATAATTCCAAAAGTACTTTTTAGTTTTTAACTTTACTTTAATTTCACCAAATTGAAATCTAATTTCAATTCTTTGCCTATCAGTTATCTATCTCAATTTTATTCAGCAATTTTACTATTCTCCATTCTTTTTTTCCTCTCTTAACAATTCTTATCTTTTCTAACTTTTCATTTTTTTTTTCTAATGAAAAAAAAAAGAATCTCACACTAATCTTTTACTTTGAAATTCATTTCTTTTTTGGTTCTCAACAAATAATAATCGCAATAAAATTTAAATCTTAAATTAATTAAAAAATTTTATTTCAAACCTGAAAATATTTTCAATTTAAATATTATAGTAGAATTGAAATCATTTCGTAATCATACAAATACAAAAAATAGTTTACTTAAGTGAAAATGAATTTAAAAGGTATAATTAATTCATCTACTGATCTATAATTAATTGATATTTGAAATTTACACAACATTCTTATAATAATACATTAATATTAATTACACACAAAAATATTACTTACACAATGACATTTTATTTAATCAAATGATTAATATATTTTAAAAAGTTTTAAATTTCAAAAAAAAAAAAAAATTAATTACTTACCTTGGCATATTAGCATTTGAAGTTGAAGGTGGACAGAATGGAGCTGTTACACCACCTGCTCTCATCGTAGGTGCATTATTACTATTATTTTGCGATGAAGATACTGCTGCTACTGATGATGATGCTGATGCTGCTACTGATGATGATGATGAACTTTGTGATACTGCAGCTGCAGCTGCAGCTGCAACAACTGATGGTTGTGGTGTTGAACGGCGCTCTTTTTTTGATAATATTTCATATGCTATTTTGATATGCATTGCACACCATCGTCCTTGTTTAGTCTAAAATTAAAATTCAAAAAGAAAAATTTGATTATAATTTTTATTTGATAAAACCATAGAATATCACCGCATAACATATCAATGATTCTTTTAAAAAAAATCGTTCTTTTTGTTATTACTTCCATATGTTTCTTTTAAGTTGCAAAAGAAAAAAATTCATTTTTATATTATTTTAATCTATTTTATTTATTTATTTATTTATTTTTTTTTTTTTTTTGATCAAGAAATCTAAATCATAAAAGAGAAAATAGTAGCTCTCTCTCTTTGTCTTTTTTCTCTCCCTTTTTCTCCTCTCTTTCTTTCTACCTCTATTCGTCAATATGGCTAAAATTGAATTTATTATATATTACATAATAAAATTTCATTTAAAAAGGAATAAATTTACTTTTCTAATATCTGATAGATTTATTTTATGATAAAAAAAAAATATCTAAAATACATATAAATATAAATAAATAAATAAATAAATAAATATATATATATATATATTATGACGTTCGAAAATAACATTTTATATTAGCTGTCAAATCTTTTCAAAATGACAAAGAAAGATAAGAAAAAAAATGCTTTGTTAAAAGAAAATTCATTGCTACTTTATTGCTTTCAATTCAATTCTTGAAATAATTAAGTGAAATTCTTTGATTAAAATCTCGAAATCCCTCATTCACAGTATGTTTAACATTTCACACATGCAAAATGTTAATTTTGTACTATGAATGGTGATAAAAACTAATGAAATTTTAATTCAAAACAAATGAAACATCTGGAAAAGTTAATCAAACCTTAATTATGCAATAACAAATATCAAAGAAATAACAAATAATAATACTACAAAATAATAAGATAAAAAAATAAAAAATAAAATGAAAGAAAAAAAAAGGGAATACCTTTATAGGTAATGGTTGTGTACCAGCGGTAGGTAAAGTCCGTCCTAATAATGCAGCATTAGCAAGTTGTGAACCAAGTGCAGTACCGGGTGGAAATTGAATACAACCAATTGATGATGCTGCAGCAGCGGCAGCAGCAGCAGCAGCTGAGGTTGATGGTTGTGCTGTTGCTGAAAGCGTTGTTGGAGGCACGGTACCTTGAGCAAGTGACATTGACTGAAATGAAACCAAAAAAGAAAATAAAATATATATAAAATAAATAAATGAATAAATTCATTCAAGAAAAATAAAAATTCAAATTTATTATTAATAGTAATAAAAAAAAAAAAAAACCCTTTTAATCATATAACAAATGAATGAATTTCATCTAAAAATTCAAAATGGAAGAAAAAAATTGCAATGATAAAAAAGAAAAAAAAATGATTGGTTAACAGCTAGCCAAACAATCATATAGCAATAGGAATTATTGGTTACGATAAAATTTATTCTGATTGTAAAAATGGAAAAAAAAGGATTTTATAATATCAGCTGTCATATGATTGCTCATTTTTATTGCTAATTCACCTGTTAAAATGGAATGAATTAGATGGCTTGTTGAGATGCTTTACATATTTAGAATAAAAAAAAGGAAAAAGAAAAAAGTGATTGAAAAAAAAAAAATGAAACTTTTGCAATGAAAAGTATTTAACTAACTTGTTGTGTTTGTTGTTGTTGTAGAATTTGTGCAGCAAGAAATGGGAATGCAGCTGCAGCTGTAGCATTCGGTGGTGCACCAGAAAAAAATAAATTACCAAAATCGGCACCACCAATGGTTGTTGATCCGGTACCACCACTACCACCACCAGCAGCAGCAGCAGCTGCAGCAGCAGCATTCAATGCAGCAAGATTGGTGCCACCAAAAAATGCTTGTCGAAATGGATCAATTAAAGATGCTGTAGGTGGTTGCGGCGGTGGTGGTGGTGGTGCTGATGATGGACCGGTTGCTCCACGATTATCCGTATTGGTGGTACAAACGGTAGCACCTGCAACAGCTGATGATAGCTCATTCCGTCCGGTAGGAGCAAGTACACCAATCGAAAGTCCAGATGATTCACCACTTAAAGAATTAACGGATGATAAATTCGATAGATTTATTGATGGTGCAACGGTAACACCGGTTTGTTGCTGTTGTTGATGACCTGCAACCACCGATGTTGATGGTACATCATGTCCTGGATCCACCGGATGTGTTGCTGCAACACGATTTATCGTAACTCCCATTGAGTCAAACGGTTCAACTATTTCTGATATTTTTTTTTTTGCTATTCCGCAAAAAAATAAAATTAAAAATATCAGTTTTTTCTTCTTTTATTTTTCTCCACCTGACCAATTAATTATCATCTGTTATTTGCTGTAATCAAAGACGAAAAAATAAAAGGGAAAAAGAAAAAAAAAACAACACAATAATGTCATTCATTCATCTCTTTGTATATATGTTTTTTTTTTACAAAAAAAAAAATTCCCTCAGGTAATGTTAATTAACATTGGTTAACAAAAAAAAGAGAGAAAAGAGAAAAAAAAAAAAAACAATTAATTTCCTAAACGATGTGACCTTTTCATTTTTATTTATTGTCATCATTATCATTATCATTAGTGATTTAAACATCCTCTAACATTCCATCAATTAATCACACAACATGAACATTACACAAAAGTCGGGCAATTTAATCAGTCCCCATTTCTCGATTCTATTCTGTCATGACCAACAATCATTTTTCCATCTTCTGTTACACACATAAACAGCAACCGTAAAATCACAAAGCAAAACAAAAAAAAAAAAAAAAAGGGAAAAAAAGGGGAAAAAATAGAAAAAGAAAAAATGAAATAAAATTTAATGGTAATCTCGACATCATCCATGCGACACATATCAAACTATTTTAGATGACATCAAAACTAATTCATTCTCCTCTTTTTTTCTCCAATTCTTGTTCTTGTTCTTTTTTTTTTATTTTCATAGGTTTAACATTAGCATACAATCATTATATAATTTAATAAGTAAATAAAATTAATTCTGAAAAAAAAAAAAAAATTAATTTGAAAATATAATAAATGCTTTTCACTTACTTTCAACAGAAGCTGATGATACAGGATCACGTATGTCAGTCGTACGTGATAACTGCCCATTCCATGTTGTTTGCCCAAGTTTATCGGCAGCATTTGACATGTCAACTTTTGTCACGATTGTGTTTACACGTGTTACACCTGTTGTAGCACTACGTGGTGGTGATCCGCTCATTATTGCTGATATATCTTTCTTTGCTGCTATACCAATTAAACCATTCCTAAAAAACAAAAAAAAAAAAAAAAAAATGATTTAATTTAATTTAAAAAAAGAAAATGGGAAAAGATAAACGGATGAAAAATACTAGAAAAGCAACAGAGCAACAAAATGTAAATATCATTTTTCATTCTTAAACAAAAAAGAAAAAAAGAGAGGTAAGATAGGTAAAATGATAATTAATTGCTCATAAAAATACTTTTTTTTTTTGAATTTTTTAAAACAAGTAATTTTTAAAAAAGTAAATAATGATATAAACGAATTATTAAATGACTGATCTAAGCGATCATTGTTTTTAAATAAGAGAAAATGTATCAAAATGATATTAGAAAAAAGAAAAAAAGTTGGAAAGTTTTATGAAATAAGTAGAGAATGTTAGCATATGTAAAAGTATATTTGATAGTAATTTAAATTCTAATAATTACATTTTATCGCTATTTTTTAATTGTAATTTCATTCACTAATTTCATTTTTGTTATTAATTTGAATTCCAATTAAATTTTCCACACACAATTCACAAATGTATTTGATAATTTCATTTTCAATCATTCATTCTATTATCATCAATTGGAAAACAGCTTTTAATTTGCATTTGCTCGATAATTGAATGTATTATAATACACTGGCAATCATAATTATATTCTCTTACTGATAACAAGTAAACAAACTATCGCTTTTAAACTGATAATTTTTATCACTACAACAATCTAACTTTTGATCTGATGCTTCAAAATATGAACATTCGTGTTTTTTTTTTTTTTTTTTTCACTTATTATTATTATTATCAATCAAAATTAATAACTCTCAACAGTTATACATCTTAAATATCATTACAGTTTTATTTTTCTTTTCCTTTTTTTTTTTTTTTTTTTTTTCAAATGATTAAGAAATGAATGAAATAGTTTGTTGTGAAATTAATGAGTTAAGAAGAACAAATTAATTTTAATTAAAAAGGAGCGAAAGCCTTCACAGTAAAGTTTTTTTTTTTTTTTTTTTAAATTAAAATTTGTGTAATAAACTGAGTCAAACCAATATAAAACAAAATTATGTGCTATTAATTGTGATCATAATTTTTTCAAATTAACTGCTGGAATGTCGTAAAAAAAAAAAAAGGAAACAAACAGCTACGCATAATTTTTTCTTTCGAAAATGACAAAAAGAACCAAAGGTTAACTCTTTTCTGAATGTTTTAAAAAATAAATGCTTCTCTTATCGATGTAACAAATTTTGGAAGAAAAAAATAAAATTAACGAATGGCTACTTATTCGTTCTCTTTTTCTCAAACTAGGCTTATCTATTTGTTTTGCTTTTTTTTTTACTTGCCAAATTTGATTTTAAATTTTGTAGTTTTTCGAGATGAATGTGAAAAATGTGTATCAAAATTTAGATCAAATATATATTATAATTATAATTATATGGATCATATTATTTAGATAATATATATATTTCTCGTATATATTTTTAAATGATAAACAAATTTGATTTATGTAAATTTTCCTTTTCAAACATTTCCCATTCAAATTTCATTTATTTATTCACCAATAATCGGTTAAACAAATATTGTCCGAAAAAGATGCTTAGAAAATTATAAATTTTCCAATGTATTTATTCAGTAATTTGCTAAGCATAAATAATAATAATGATAATAATAATAATAATTTAACAAATGATCTATTATGACAAACTAAAATGGAACAAATTTTGGCATGAAATTCAAAAAAGGAAATAAATATATATGTGAGAGAGAGAGGGGGAAAATAAACAAATAAATAAACATAAAAAAAAAAAAAAAAAAAAAAAACTAACTTATGATCTTCTTGATGATTTTGTTCCAATTTAACCCGTTTCTCATATCCAACACCATCAATAAGTAAATCAGATGATCGTTTAAGCATATTACTTAATGCATTATTTTGATTACCAATAGTTGGAATATTTGCAGAGCACACCGAAATACCAGTATCATTCATCCAGGTAATTGTTGTTGTATTGTTAGTGTCAATATGTGTTGTTGTTGTTGTTGTTTCACTTGGAATTTGTTCAATTCGTCCTAATAAACGTGAATAACGCTGCAAAAAGAAAGAAATAAAACAAGAAATTATATAAATAAATTAAAATGAAAAAGAAAAAAAAAAGAAGGAAACAATCAAAAATTTTATAATAAAAATTATAATTTATAAAGAAAAGAAAAGAGAAAAAAAAAAATTGGAAGAAGAAACAAGTAAATAAATAATAAATCATTTAATTTCATTCTTTTTTTTTTTTTCTTTTTCTATTATTCATTTATCTTTTCATCAATCAAATATTAAAAAACATTTTTTTTTTTTTTTTTTTTTTTATAATTGCCAAATACAATAAATTAATGCAAAGAATGAATAATTCAGATTTGATGTAATACAATAATAAAATTTTATATTAATATATTTAAGAATTACTTATAATTATTAAAAAATTTTTAAACTATTCAAATATTCTAATATCATATAAATGTAATCAGTTTATCATTTCATATTAAATTTTTTTAACACACACACAAAGACAAATATATAATACATACACACATAATTCGAATTAAAAAGAAAAGAAAACAGAGAAAGAGTGATCAAAGATTATGAATGAAATGAATTAAAAATTGTAAATGTATCCAAAAATACACATTTAAAATAATTTCCTTCAACTAAATTAATTTTTTCAATTACAATTACAATTATTCTTTACTAACAACTATCATTACTTACCACATACATACATATATATTTCCCTATTATTTTATTTTTTTTTTTTCAACTTATTTTTCCTCCTCTTATCTTTATCATAAATCATTAACTTTTCAACTCTCTTTTCACTCTCTCTCTCTCTCTCTCTCTCTCTCCCTCTCCCTCTCTCTCAGTTATCATTTAGCAAAATAAGAAAAAGTTTAGAATAAAAAGATAATGAAATTAATATAAATAGAGCACAAACAAAATGCTAATTTTCTTTCTTATTGCTTTTAAGAAAAGTATTTACTGGTGAATAACAATCAAACAATCAAAAATCATTCAATCATTTCATTAAATATTACAATAATAGCAATTCTTTCCTCTCTCTTCTTTTTTTCTTTTCCTTTTTTACACTATCATTTAATCAAATAAACCAATGAAAAGAAGGAAATCAAGAGAGAGAGAGAGAGAGAGAGAGAGAGAGAGAGGGCAAAAGAAAGAAAGAAAGAAAATGAGAAAAGTATTATCAGTAATTGAATGAATGATGAAAATGATGAAAAATCCTGATAAATGTGCATTATCATGATTGAAATACCACTCTATTTTTTAAACAAAAATATTACAGAGAGAGAGAGATATATATATATATGGAGAGAGAGAGAGAGAGAGAAAAAAAAAGAGAAAGAAAAAAAAAGAACGAAAAGAATTTTATCAAAAGATGAAAACTTGACAATGAATTAATTTGATAATATTTTTTCAATAATAAAAAAAAAAAATGAATAGTAATGAAGAAATGGAAAAATTTTATTTTAAATTATTTAACCTATGAATTTAGTATTATTCTTATAAATAATATTATATAAAAATTTAAGATTAATCCCACATTTCAGTTATAATTTAATCCAATTGTTATATAATTTTATTAGAATTTCATTTGAAATGCTTATTTATTGACAAATCTATTTGGATTCTTTTGCAAAACAAAAATAAAAATTTCTCGTTTTTTTTTTTTTTTTATTAATAATGAATTACTAAATTAATTATGGAGAAATCAGTGGAAAAATAATTTATGCAAAAGAGAAATAAGAATAAGAGAAACTAATGAGTGATACATTTACAAATGTATAAATAAAATTAAACATATGTGTTATAAATCAATAGCTAATTATGCAAAATTGAAAGAAAAGAGCTAAAAAAAAGATTAATGAATAATACTTATTTAATAAAAATTAAATATATCACATAAATTGGCAACCAATAATTATGCAAAATGAGGTAAAAAAGATTAAAAATAATCATTTTTAATATGTAATGTATATAATAATTTAAACAATAAACATTGATTTTATAAATTAAATAAGCTTATGAAATGAACACTAAATGAAATAAGCAAAAATAAAAATAATATATTTGAAATAAGTAAAATTATTTTGATCATATATAAACATTATTAATCGAAGTTCCGCGATATAAATTAATGGTAATTACTGGAAAGAATGATGAAAGATTGCGGATTAAAAGAGAGTATGAGAAAAGAAAAGGAAAAATTCATCACCAATATTTTAATCAAATATGAAATGAAAGGAGGAGAGTAATGCCCTCTACTTCATAAACAGGTTTGATGAATAATAATAAATCATATATTATATAAGAAGTTAGAAGGAGATATTGAAATAAAAGGAATGAAATGGGTAAATTTTACCCTTAATTGAAGGTAGAAATGAAAAAAAAATTGAACAAAATAATAATTATAGAAGAAAGAAAATATTTGATATACATATATAATATTCGTTAATATATATATATGTAAATAAATATTTCTAGTTTATATAAATACTTTTACAATTCTTTCTTTTTATTTATTTTCTGATGTAATAAAAAGATTAAAATTCAATGAAAATTTTAAAATAACCTCTTTTTTTTTTGAAAAAAACAACAAAAAAAAAATGCTCGAATAAATCTAATCTTTTCAAAAAAAAAAAAAAAAAATGGTTGTTAGGGAGAAAGATTCAAATACATATATAATAAATAGAAAACAAATAATCGTAAAAGAAAACCAAAATTAGAAATTTTCGAAATATACAAACAAAAGAGGAAAATAAATATGGAAGTAGGATAGATGTTTACCTTTTAAATATATTCCAACAACAAATATATTAGATCAATCAATCAATCAATCAATCAAAAAAAAAAAAACAAAGAGAGAAGCAAATTCTTTGTTTCATTGTTTTAACTTCAATTTTAAAACCATTTTTTCATGAAAAAACAAAAAAAAAAATTCCGTTTTTTTTTTTTCTTTTTCTTAAACAATTAGCGAAGCAAAAATTTTTGCAATAAAAATAAATAAAAGAAAAAAGAACACACACACACACAAAGAAAGAAAGAAAGAAAGAAACAAATAGTTGGAATTTTTTAATTTGCATTTTATTTTATTTTTTTTTTTAATTTATATAATCAAAAATGCTTTATTAAAATAAATAAATAAAATAAAAAAGCAAAAAAAAAAAAAAAAAAGGAAATAATAGAAGTGAAAAAGAGTAAGAAAGTAATGGCAAAAAAAAAAAATTTTTGCTTAAATACATTTACATTCATTCATTAGTTTAATAAATTTTCAATTTTTCTACTTTCCTTTTCCTTCTTCTTTTTTTTTTCTCTTTCTTTTTCATAGAAATTAATTAGATTTTACATGAGAAATATTTGACCTTAACAAAAATGAAAAAAAAAAAAATACAAATAAAAGCTATTTTAAAGAGAGAGAGAGAGAGAGAGAAAGAAGGAAAAATGAATTACTATTTGCAATAAATTTAATAAAAAAAAAAATTTAAACTACCAAAGAAAGAAAAGGAACAAAAAAAAAAAAAACAAAACAAAACAAATTGGTTTCTGATTTTTCTTCGCTTTTTTTTTTTCCTTTCATTTTTTCCGCTTCTCTTATCATTTTTAAATATGATACTTTGATCTTTCTCAACTCTTCTCTCTGTTTTTTTTTTCTCTCTCTCTCTCTTTTTTTTTTTGCTATTAAACTTTACGATACATCCTATAATCAAATTTATTTTTCATACTTCATATATTGAAGATAATAAGCAAAATGGAGAAGAAGAATAAGGAGAGAGAGAGAGAGAGAGAGAGACAGAGAGAAAAAAAAAAGCAAAAAGAGCAAAGTACAAATTAATTTTGGAAATAATAAATTTTAGAGGTAAAAAAAAAAAAAAAGTAAAAAGGAAGGAAAGAAAAAATAACAATTAATTGTAATAATGGAAGTGATAAATATGAATTTGTAATTTATGAATTAAAAAAATTTTTTCTCAAAAAAAAAAAAAAAAAAAAATTATTAATGATTAATGATGCAATTCATAAATTAATGAGTGCAATTCGTTTTTTTTTTCTTATCTTTTTTAATTTTCACAAAAAATAAAAAATAGAAATAGGAATGAAATTGAAACGATGGAAAATATATGCAAATTAAAAATGTGAACAATTTCCCCTAACAATTACTATAATATAATATTTAGTTTGAATAATTTAAAAAAGAAAAAAAATTTCTCTCAATGATACTTTCTGATTATTATTTTGCAGAAAAAAAAAAAAAAAAAATTTATAAACAAACAACAAATTAAATGATAAATAATCGAAATAACAGTATAGTTTGTAATACAAACTTTTCTTGCTATTCTTTTTGTTGAAATTTTTTAAAACAATAATTTCATATTAATAAATTTGCATTCTCTTTCCACTATTATTACTAGAATTATGCTATCACTTTATCATTATCACTGAATTGATTATAACTGATATTAATAATAATTGTTATAGTAATAATAGCATTTGTCAAATATTTGAACACATGAAAGGGGGGGGGGGAAAAAAAAAGGAAGGAAAATGTAAAAAGTAGCATGCAATCCTAAAAATACCCCTGAGAGAGAGAGAGAGAGAAGAAGAATGAAAGAAAGGAAAAGGAAGAGGAAAAGCAGATGAAAAAAAATTTGACATAAACTGATTGATAAATCATACATCAGCCATTAAAATTTAGACAACGAAAAAAAAAAAAAGAACTATTTTCCGTTTTTTTTTTTTTTTAAAAAAAAAAGAGAAAGAAAAATTTAAAATGAAATTGTAAAAAAAACAAAAAGTAAAAAAAAAAAAAAAAAGAAAAAAGTTCCTGCAACTAATACAAATGATCAATCATTTTGAAATTTCTCCCAATTTTACAACCCATTTCACCCACGCACCTTTTTAATTCATTCATTCATTCATTCATTCAACCATAATTTTCAACAAAACGGTTAGTCCGGTTTTCAATTCCCTTCTCTTCTCAACTTTATCCAACATAATACAACTATTCTCTCTCTCTCTCTCTCTGTAATTCATTCATTCCAAACTCTCCAATCATTCAATCTTCTAAATTTTACACTTATTTTCTCTCTCTCTCTCTCTTTCCCTTCTTCTCCTTTTCTCTTGTTGCATTTTAACATAATAAAATGTAATGCTATCAGCTCATTTCTCAATCTTTTATCCCTTCTTCCATCTCCTTTTCTCCTCTCTCGAATGTTTATATAGAAGAATCATAAAATTATCGTTCGTTCATTTCACATTCTAATCTTTATTTTAATTTTTTCCTTCTTCCTTTCTTTTTAAAAATATACCATTATACATGTATGTGTATGTCTGTGCATGTATGTGTATGTGTAGTGATAGATGACACATACATACATACATACCTACATGTATGTTATCACTATTATCGTTATCACCTATTATCACCACTATCAATCACTACACGCAATCAAATCCCCTTTTTCCTTCTTTTTGACAATTTATAGGAAAATGAAATAAAGCAAATATCGTAAAAAAAATTTTTTTTATTTTTCATTACTATACTATCTTTTTTTCTTTTTATCTCTTCCTCTTTCTTTCTCCATCTCAAATTTCTTACTATTTAATAACAATAATAATAATAATAATAATAATAATAATAATAATCATTTCAACAATACAATTTATTTCTCACATTTCTTTTTCTTTTTTTTTGTTAAAATTAATAATAATGTTTAATTTAAATTTCATTCTTTATTTCATTAATATTTATTCTTAAATTAATAAACTGATTAAAAAAAAAAAAAAAATAATTCCTTTATTATTTACGATGATTCTAACAACCTAACAGTTTTTTTTTTTTGTAACAACTGATATATTTGATAAGATAAATAAATTGTAATGACTTGCACCCGACACATACACATCTCTCAATTTATATTTTGTTTAAATTTTAAGTTAAATTTTTCGGTAAAACTCATTAAGTGAAAGAAAAAAAAAGAAAATAACGATTAATTGATATATCATTAACTATCAATGAAAAATGAACTCATTCAAATCTGATATCATTATCATGATAATTATCATTGTTCAATACAAATACATTCAACCAAATCATTATCACATGTCCTAAATTTTTTCTTCATCATTTCTCTTCTAATTAATTTAATTGTTCTCAAGGAAGAAAATCCAAAAAAAAAAAAATTAAAATAAAATAAAAATAAATAAATAAATAAAAGCAAAAGAGAGAGAGAGAGAGAGAGAGAGAGAGAGAGAGGAAAAGAGAATCTATATATGATCGAATAAACTTAATTTCATCCAATTTTCATTTATTATTTAGTTTGCTTTTTTCTTTTTTTTTTCTCTCTCTCATTTTCTTACTCATTACTTAATATAATATTATAATCAGTTAATCATTAATTATCACATTACTGATAATACATAATACACATAATAAATTGGTTAATTTATTCCGGTACGTACTGAAATAGGAAATTATTAATATCGAATTAAATATTCCGAAATGATGAATGAATGAATGAGAATAAGGTAAATACATAATAACAGTATTAATAATGATATTCCTAAATCATTAATCAAGCAACCATGCATGCATTTAGCAAACATTAAAAGCTCAATTTTTCGCTTATTCAGCTGTTTCATTATTTGCTCCCTGCATTATTAGCTAATCAGTATTTCATTTCCATTTACATTTCCATTTCCATTTTGCAACTGAAGTACTAATTGAAAATTGCTCATGAATGAATAAATTTCCAATTAGCAATTCAGTTATTTGAAGAAAAAAGAAAAATTCGACAAAAAAATGAAGTTGGAATTAAAGTTTAAGGTCAATTACTAATGAATGACACGCTGACTCATTCCAATCATTAAAAATGAATTTAAAAGAAAAAAAAAAAAAAAAAACAACATGGAAATTTAATGCATATAAAATTGAACAATTTAAATTAGAATTTCAAAGAAAAAAAAAAGAAATTTTTTTTTTAAACATATATTTGTAACCTTTAGTCAAATAATTCCGATACATTCTACATTTGATACAACTGATAATCATGATATGATCTCAAAACTATACATTTATCAATTTAATTTAACAGTTAGGAATAAACGAAACGATAAGAAATGATTGAAATTTGGAAACCGAAAAAGAGAAAAAAAAAAAAGAAAAGAAAAAAGAAAAACTGATACACATCAGACAATTTAATCTATCATTCAAATTACACTTCTTTTCATCCGATTATATTAAAATGATTCAATAAAATTAACCCATTTATTTGATTTGATTTGATATTTTCATCCTTTACTCTCTTACTACAATAATAATTGTAATAGTAGGTAAATAATAAGAATAAAGAGAATAAATAGAGAAAAAAGAATAAATAATAATAATAATAATAGTCAAAAATATTAATAGTAAATATTATTACTATTAATATCACCATTGTTACTATTATTTATATTTCTTCATCATCATTTTTAATCTTATTATCTTTCATCAAATAATTTCTATTGAATCAATTCAGCTAATCTGTATTCAAATTGCTTATAAAAATATTAGTAAATAAGGCTATTTTTAAAATTCTACAATTGATAGTATTTCATTTCTCATCGTCAAAAATAATAATTTTTAAAACAAAAACACACACACACACACACACATATGATTATGATATAATCAGAAAAGTAAGTAATCATTAATATTAAACACTAAAAACGATAATTTTTTTTTTTTAAACTGAAAAGACTAAAATAACAAAAAATTGTAATTTTTGATGGAATAAGAAATGAAAAAAAGAGAAAAAGAAGGAAGGAATGAGAAATAAATTTATCGCATATTTACAACAATCATAAACTGATATGGAAGAGAAATAATGCAAAAATGTTAGAATGTTTTACTAAAATAATAAAAAGCAAATCTACCATTCATCACCATTTGTTTATATTATTTGTTTTGTTTGTTTTTTTTTTTGTTCGTAAAAAAAAAAAAAAAATCAATGAAGGAGAAGAAAAAAAAAAAAAAAAAACGAACGATCATTTCTTAAAATCATTATAGGTGAAAGAAAAAAAAATAAAAATAAATATATCAATTAATTAAATAGAAAATCATCCAAATGTGACATATTAATTCATTTCCATTTCAAATATCAAATAATTAATTTGTTGACATTATTTGTTAATTTTTCATATAAATTAATAACAATAATCATCAATCGTAGTCAAAAAAGATTAATTATTTAATGATACATTACTATTTACTCAATTACTTATTTATTATACCTTAAATAAATTTCACAATAATACATTCATCAAATAAAACATAACAAATAAACAAATAAACCAATTGTAAAAAATTCAAAAAAAAAAAAAATTTAAACTAAATAAAAAAAAAAAAAAAAAAAAAAAAAAAAAACAAAAAAGTAGAAAATACGATGAGATGATGATATGGGTCAAACTGTGAATTTTAACACTATCCCTTAACTCTTTTCATACATGCTTCTATCATATTTTAATATTTTCAACACACACACACATACATACACAGACAGATAGCCACACACACACACACACATACACATACATATGTAAGTGTATGTGTGGGTGTGTGTGGCATATTTGCAGGAACGACAAAAGATTGAAGAACGATGAACACAGCCAAAGAAAGAAACTCTGGCGCTCTTTTAACTCCCTTTCATCTATCTATCTATCCCTGTAAATGATTATATCATCAACTTATTGTAGTTAGTATTTAAATTTCCTACAAAAAAAAAAAAAAAAAAAATTAATTTTTGAAAATTAAAATTTCAATTTTTTAAAAAGTATTAAATTTCCTATTGGCATATATAATAAATTTAATAACCGAATCTAAATAAATAAGTAAGAATGATAAATAAATAAATTAATGAAAAAAAAAAAAAAACAAAATAATTATATTAGAGATATAATTTGTGATAAGAGAGATTAGAGTAAAGAAGAAAATGATAAGATGATATCATCATTACATCTATTTTAAATATTATTTTCCACTGAAAACTAATATTTCTTTAATTTTAAAAATTGAAGAAAAAAAAAAAAAAAAGGAAAAAAAACCAACAAATGATAACAATAACTATTACTACAATTATGTTTAATTTTTAAAGAAAAAAAAATTTTTTTTTCTTTTTTAACAAAGAATAGCAAGAGGAAAAGAGAGAGAGAGAGAGAGAGAGAGAGGGGAGAGGAGAGAAAAATAAAGGAAAAATTATATTTTAAAGTTGAAAATAAAAAAGAGGAAGAGAGAGAGAGAGAGAGAAAGGGAGAGGGTAAAAAAAAAATTTTTTTTAAACGAAGTGGAAATATGGTTAGGCAATTGATGATAATTCTGTACCAGCTAATGATGATCAGAAAACCACAACGGAATAGAAGAAGGATGATGATGAGAGAGAAGCGGAAGGGCGCAAAAAGATTTTAACGCCTATCAAATTCCGCCAATAACACACACATACACGGACAGACATAGACAGACACATACATGTATATAAACATGATAGGAGAATGATGAAAAGGGAACGATGTCCTTCAAAGCAACCGATAGGAGGGAAGGAAGTAACATCATCCCCCGCCCGACACAGAGAACCGATCGTGGCGCATTTGGCCAGCGGGGCGGTGGTGGCACCAACAAGTACTTGCAGGGCACTTAAGACATGAAGGTGGAGGTGGACATGTGGACTGAGGGTACTGCCCCCTGGGAATGCAAGGGAGAGAGAGAGAGAGGAGAAATTCGATCTGGGTAACACACTCCCAGGAACTTTTCCCTCCTTCATATATTTTTCCATTACATTACACTTTTAGGTTTTTTTCATCTTCTCCCTCCCTCCCTCTCTCTCTCTCTCTCTCTCTTTCTCTTATTATCTTAGGAAGAGATTGAAAAAAACTCAGGGAAGCAAAGAGGGAGAAAGAGAAAGAGAGAGAGGGGGAGGAAGAAAAAAAAACGAAAATGAAGAGAATAATTACATGCATGTAGAGAGGGCAAAAGAAACGATAGGAGGAGTGGAGAGAGAGAGAGAGAGAGACAGGAGGAGAAAGGAAAGATTTGACAATTGAAATAAAAATAAATAAATAAAAAGAGGGAATAAAAAAAAAAAAAAATTCAACAAAGGTCATTGATTAATGATGAACAACTACTGTGAAATATTATGATTAGAAAGAAAAAAAAACGGACAACCATATAAAAATTTATAGGAGAAAGAGAGAGAGAGAGAGAGAGAGAGAGAGAGAGAGGAAGAGAAGGTTTGAGAGTACAAAAAAAAAAAAAAATGATTGAAATTGCAATCTAAAATTTATATCTTAAATAATAATAACAAAATATCTAGAAAGATAATAAAGGGATGAAAATAAATGCAAATGAAATGATACAAAGAAAAAAAAAAAGAAAAATATATATGAATGAAATAAGAGAAATTAGAAATGAAATGAAATGATAAATAACAGAGAAATGAAGAAAGGAAAAAGGAAAAGAAAAAGTTAAAAAATAAAAATGACAAGGAAAAAGAGAAAAAAAAAAATGAACGAATGCTTCGTTGAGAATAACGAATGATTGAATTAATGATTGAATGATTGATTGATTGATTGACTGACTGACTGACTGAATGACTAACTAACTAACAAATTAACTAAATGACTGATTGACTGAATGACTAACTAACCAACTGACTGACTGGCTGACTAATTAATTTGATAAATTAATGAATGTAAACAAAATTAGATGAAAGAAATGTTAGAAATGAAAAATGGACAAATTGTCGTCAAATGAAAAGAAAACAAAAAACCAAAAAAATAAAAATTAAATTAAATTAAATTAAAGCAATGAAATATCTACATGCGAACAGAAAAAAAAAATCGTAGAGAGACAGACAGAGAGAGAGAGAGAGAGAGAGAGAGAGAGGTATTAAGGGAAAGGAAAACAATATTATGTACATACATGATGGCATTACTTAAATTTAATTTAAATTGATTTTTCTAATTTTTCTCCCCCAACAAATATCACAGTCTTGTAAATTTAAACCACCAAACCATGTACATGTGCAATGTTTAAAATTTAATTTAAATTGATCTCTCTAATTTCTTTCTCCTCCTTCTCCCTCTGCCAAAAAAAAAAAATCTCACAATACATAAATTAAAGTTAAATTTCTTTTTTTTTTTAAATTTTTCTTTAAAAAAAAAGAAAAAATATTATTATCAGTCGAAGATTGATAGTAGTAGAGAAAACTATAGAAATGATGACAAATTATTGAAAAAAAAAATATATATATATATATAAAGAAAGAATTGAAATATGCTTTTCTCCCTTTTACTTTTCTTTGTTTACAAATTTTTTTTTTCTCGTAATGTGATATTTAGTATTTTTGAAATGTTTTCTAAATAGAATATGAACTGAGATAATTGGGTATAAATTCCACTTCTTTATTTTTTAATTAAAATTTCACTATTAATTATAATCTAAGTAAAGAAGGCCGAGAAAGAGAAAGAGGGAGAGAGAGAGAAAGAGGGAGACGAAGAGATGAGAAAGAAAATAACAAGTGGAAAAGCAAATTTAAATAAAAATATAATTATATAATGTCTAAAAAATATTTCAGCCTATTTATTTAAACATTAAATAAACAAACAAACAAACAAACAAACGAAAAAAAAAAAAAGAATGGAATGAGAAAAATGAGAACGAAACTAAATCTATTCAAAAAAGAGGAAAAAAAAACTGGAAAAAATGAAAAAAAAAAAAAAAAAAACGATAATTATTTTCTTTTTTTTACTAAATATAATTCATCTTCAATTATTCCAAATGTATTTGACAGAAGTAATACTCAAAAAAAAAAATTGAATTTTAAAAATATAAAAATGACTACTGAGAAGGAGAAAACGAAGAAAAATAAAATAAAAAAAAAAAAGCTTTTCTTTCCATATTTTTTTTTTCTTATCTTTAAAAATAAAAAAAAATTTTTCTTCAATATTATTTATTTATTTTTTTTTTTCATTTTTCTTTTTTAGAAAAAATAAAATGAAAAGAAAAAGAAATCGATTTGCTACATATTTTCTTTAACAAAAAAGTATGACGTAGAATGAATTTCTCACATATCAATAATATAATAAATATATGCAATTTGCTGGAAAATAAAATGTCCTATAAGGTCGATTTCTAAAAAAAAAAGAAAAAAAAAAATTTAAGAAAAAATAAAATAACAAAATGACAATTAAAATCGATAATGGAAAAGAGAGAGAGAGAGAGAGAAAAAAAGGATAAGAAATAGGATGAAAAAAAAAGAAAAAATGAAAGGATAGATATGAGAAAAAATGAAGCAACAAAAGATATAAAGAAGTAAGCATAATTTTAATTTTAAGAAAAAAAGAAGCAAAAAAAGGAAAAAAAAAAAGAGAGAAGAAGAAGAGTGAGAAAGCAAAGTGAAGAATGAAATAGAATTTAAAATAAACTAAAAAAAAAAAAAAAAAAACGGAACGAAAGATAAAATTAAGGAAAAAAAAAAAAGGAAATAAAATTGCGATAAGGGAATATTTTCATTTTTTTCTCTCTCTCTCTCTCTCTCGCTCTTTCCCTTCTCTCTCTCTCTCTCCCACTTTTTCAATCCATTTATCCTCCAATCATTAATTAAGAATTCAATAAGCTAACGAAAGATTTTTCAAAAAAAAAAAAAAAATTTTTCAATCTTTTTTTTTTTTTCATTTTCTCTTTTCTCTTCTAATCTTTTCGTTTTTCTTTTTTCTTTTTTTTTATATAACTTACAAATTGCTGTCATTTCCGAAACAGACAAAATTTTTTTTTTCACTCATTTTTTTCACATTTGTAATTTATTAAAGGGAATTTTTCAAAATGAAACAATAAATTAAAAAGAAAGGAAAAAAAAAAAAAATAAATAAATCAAATGTAGTTTTTAATTATTGGATACATAAATTCTATGGTCTTTTTTTTTTTTTTACGATCGAAAAGAAAAATGAAAAAGCAAACAAATATGATAAAATGACGTATACGTTGATAGTATATAAATGTATGCATGTAGATATGGTGAAGATGTGAAACACGTAAAAGACGTGACTACGTAAAAGACGTGAGTACAAAAATGATATTTTAATAAATGTTAGTTTAATTAATTAAACCACTGAATCATTTCTTTCATATTCATTTGACGCTAACAATGCTGTACACAAATATGACGTATAACAGGAAAAAAAAAAAAGAAATACAAAGTAGAAGAAAGAAACGTAGAATACGTGAAACAAACGGAAGTGTAAAATGCGTGAAAATTATCAAATGTATATGGTAAATAAAAAATGAAAAAAACGTCAAATATAAAAATTCATAATATATATATGATTTTAGCAACTAATAACAATCAGACAAGCATTTGACAATAAAAACAATGTTGACAACAAAAATTAAATGAATAGATTGAAATAATTTATTTAAAAAAAAAAATAAATAAATAAATTTGAACTATTATAAACTAAAAAGAAAAAAAAAAAGTTAGTTAAATGAAGAGTTTTTTTATTTATTGTCAAAAAAAAAAAAAAAGGTTTAACAAATTTTATGGATGCCCTTGGGAAGATAGTCCTTATTCAATGATAATATGCAAGAAATTTCAACAGTTTACAATACCTTGGCCTCTTTAAATAAAAATTTTTGAACATTGTATGAAAGAAGAAGAAGAAAAGTGTAAAATAATCCTTCAATCATTTTAAGTTTTTGTATAAAAAAAAAAAAAAAAAGAGAAAAACCACATTTTATGGATGAAAAAAAAAAAGCAAAAGGTGTAAAAAGTGTAAATTTCTCATTTTTTTTTTTTAATTTTATTTTTATTTACTTTTTTTTTTTTTTGTTTCTTTTAAAATAGTCAAATAAACCATTTTAAACATTTCATTTTTTTTTTTTATTAAGATATCAAATAAATAATCATACAATGTATGATTGATTACAATGGAAAATGAAAAAAATGTTTTCTCTTTTTTTAAAAAAAAAAAAAAAAAATAGAAATATCTCAAAATAATATTAATCAAAAAAAAAAAAAAAAAATGATACGTCATTTTAGCTCATCTCATAATATTATATTATTTTATTGCTACTTATAAAGAAATGAATTTACGTTGTAACATTGAAAGGGAAAATTTTTACGTCCAAAAATATGTGTCAATCAATTCATCTAATTTGATTCATTTCTAATTGAATAAATTATTCATTCAAAAAATAAATTTAAAATAAAACATAAAAAAATTCAATAAAGAAAGAGAAGGTAAGAGAGAAAGAAAAGAAAAGAAAAGAAAAAAAAAAAATTGTATTTCAATAATTTTTTTTTTTTTATTCATTTTTTTTTTTTTTTTTTATTCTTTCTTTTTGCTAAATTACTTTTCAATTAAGCAAAAAAGAATATGAGAATGAAAGAAAATTTCTAAATTTTTCTCATTTTTCTAACGTCATTTTATATTCATTTTTTTTTTTTTTCTCATTTTTTCATGAAATAAAATAACAATACTAATTGAACAAAATCAATAAAATTATTTTAAAATATTAAAAGTTATCATTAATAAAACAAAAAAATAAAATGAAATGAATTGAAACACATTTATCAAATCATTATTATTTCCTTTTTTTCTTTTTTCTGTTGAGAGAGAGAGAGAGAGAGAAAAGGAAAAATAAAAAAAAAAAAAAAAGAAATTTTCAAAAGAATCATTTGGAAACAATTCACTAAGCCCATTTTGTTGCAAACAAAAAATTGAAAAATTCCGGTTCCATTTTGCTCAAATTTTTTGAAGTTTTTTTTCTATTTTTTTTTTCTTCCACTCATAATACCTCTCTCTCCTCTCTCCCTCTCTCTCTCTCTCTCTCTCTCACTTTTCTTGCCATATTTTCTCTTCTTCACACAAAATCTCTTCAAACTAAGCATTACACATTTCAACTTTAAAATAAAAATACATGTTATTAGGAGAGAGAGAAAAAAAAAAAATCTTTAAAATAAGTTGATTGCTGCTGCTGCTGCTTTTTTAACCATTCATTTCTCTTTACAACTATTTCATATATCAAAATTTTTTTTTCTTTTTTTAAAAAAGAAAAAAAAAAAACTAAAATAATTTTATTTCTATTCAAAAATAAAAATTTCATGCTGTTAAAGTTAAACTTTTCTCACTTTATATGATAATGAGTTATGGCATACGAATGTCAAATATTCAAATATTTTAAATGTAAAATGCAAAAAACTAACCGATTGTCGAGAGGATTTTTTAGTTGCATTTGAATCTTTCAATTTTCGCTTACGCTCCTTCTTTTCCAATTTTTCATCACCAATTAATTCACGCTCACGCATTTCACGTTCACGTCGTTCTTTTCGCTCACGTTTTCTCTCTTTGCGTAATCGTCGCTCTTCGCTATCAATGCTAGTTCCTTCACGCACTCCACGTTCTCGACGCTCTCTACGATCTCTTCGACGTTGCTCCTTCTTTTCACGTCGTAAACGTCTCCTCTCCAGTTTTCGCTCCTTCTCTAATTGGGCCTTACTTTTGCGGCCTTTTTTCTTAATTAAGCCTAACCGTACATTTTCCTCATACCTACGCCGTTTCTCTTCTGCTTCCTCTTTTGCTTTGATAGCTTTCAGTTCGTCCTGAAAGACCTGAAAATTAACAAAATGATTAGATGATGAAGAAACAATTAAAATTTTAAAAAAAAAAAACAAATTTAATTTATTTTTTAAATACTTTACATCAAAATAAAGAAATTTAACATTGACAAATGAAAGAAATTCATGACCCTAAATCAACATTACAATTTATTCGCAATAGAAAATCTACATGCCACAAAATTTAAAAGCTTCCATTCTCTTTCTCTCTCTCTCTCTCTCTCTTTCCCTCTTTCTCTCTGTTTTAGTAACTTTTCTTTAACAAAAGTAATTTTAAAGAGCACGAAAGAAATGAATGGATAGGAAAAGGAGAAAGGATAGGATGGATTACTCTTTTTCCTAAAACTAGGACGATATCAGGTGAAGGACAATCGAGCGCGGCGGTATGTTTTATTCCCAAACGTTACACATACACACACATACATACACATACATACACATGCATACATACATATTTACATATAAATATTTTATTCTATCAATGAAGAAAATTGAAATTTTAGGAAAAGAAAAAAGGAATAATTCTCTCATTATTAAAAATGAAATGAAAAATTTTTTTTGAATTAAAATATTAGAAAATTATTTCACATTATAATATTATTTCATACTTTTCTTTTTTTTTTTCAAAAAAAAGAAAAAGGAAAAACTAACAAATAAATTTAAACATTTAAACAAAAAAAAAAAAAAGAAAACTAAAAAGTGTAATCGATTAGCGCTAAAAATCCTTTAAATACTTATTAATATTCTTTCTTTTTTTTGTCATCCATATGAATAATATCATATGATTTCTTCTCTTTTCTTTCCTTTTTTTTTTCAAATTAAAAAAAAAAGAAAAGTAAAGGACATAAAAATTTTAAAATAGCTTTTTCGTAAAAAAATTTAAATTGATTAGTACTCTTTCTTTCTTTCTTTCTCTCTCTCTCTCTCTTCTCTTTCTCTCCTTTTTTTTGTAATTATGAAAAAAAAAAAAGCAAAAATAAAAATAAAAATAAACAAAGATGACCTGTAAATCATTTAAATTTTTGAACATCAACAAGGAAAAATCATCAATAATTGATTCTTTCAATAATGTAATTTTGTCTTTTACCAATAATGTTTTTACATATGTTTGTGAACATGAACATGACATCGAATCCTGTAAATAAATTTTTTTTTTTTAATTTTATTAATTAATAAATGAAATGATTAAATTACAATTATTATTGCCTTCTTCAATTTTTCCCCTTTTTTTTTTCTTTTTTTTTTTTTGTTAATTAATTATTGTTCATGTTATAAATTTTAAAGTTTTTTTTATTTTCCTTTTTCCTACTTTTCATTTACAAACTAAAATTTTATTGTCATCGTTAATTTTATTTGTTAAAAGAATTTTGTCGTATTTGTTTACACTTTCCTTAATGCAATGTTTTATTTACATTAACTTAAAATGTCCAAGTTAATGTCAATAAAGTACTTTAATTACTCCAAAATCAAAGATGATAAATTCCAATGATCAAATGATCTTGGCTAATTAACATTTAAACTTATTTACTTTTATTTAAATTTAAATAGCGAATTATAATTCCTATACTTTTCTTATATTTTATTAATATTTAAATGAATATTTAGATGAAATTTAATGCTAGTAATATTTAAATGTATAAAAAATTAATAATAATAATATAATATAAATAATATATAAAAAATAATAATAATAATATTTAAGTGAATGAATTAATTAAAAATTATTTCACAGTAAAACAAACAATAAAATTTTTAGTCACTTTTTTTTCTATCATTGAAATTAATTTGTTGATTCTATAAAATGTTCAATCATTTCTTTAATTTTCATAAAAATATTTCTTTTAAATGTAAATTTGAATTATATTTTATGCATCATATATAAAAATTAAAATCCAAGAATTCTAAGAATTATAAAAATTTTCATCAAATTATCTTTCCTTTTTTTTAAAAAAATGTTAGTAAAAAGCTAATCAAAAAAAAAAAAAAAAAGTTTAAAATAAGAAATAATTATAAGTGCAATATTCAATGATCATATCAATTGTGATCGTTCATTTTTCATCTTTTTTACCTTTTTTTTTAATTTTATTTTTTATTTTTGCTTTTTTTTTTGATCTTCTGTTTCTCGAAATAAATCCAACAAAAATGTATAATCAATAATAATAATATGTCTTTAAAAAAAAAACAAACAAAAAAAGAAAAGAATAAAGCAAACCAAAACTAATGCATTAATCAAAATAACGATGTGAATAAAAAAAAAAAAAAAAAAAAAAAAATTTTTTAAAAATTTAAAAAAAAAAAAAAAAAAAAAAAAAAAAAAAAAAAAAATTAATTTTCAAAATTTTATTGCTTAAAATATCATAAATTATAGCCTCATTATATTTTTTAAATTTCTAACAAAAAAAAAAAAAAAATCATCGCTACTTTATTGATTAATTTAAAATAAAATTTAAAACAAAGAAAAAACAAAAAACGAAAAAAAAAAAAAAAAAAAACTGAAAGACTTAAATGATATTTCATTTCCTCTAAATATAAACATAACAATATCGATAGCTAAGCAATGATAAATAAAATTAACTTTATTTTTAACTTTAATTTTACTTACTTACTTTCTTTTTTAATTTTATTTTATTTTATACAAATGATAAAACTGATATCTAAATTAAAATCAAAATTAAAATAACAATGATCTTATCATTATAGTGCATATGAAATAATCATATGATAATAAATAATACTATCATTTCTTTCATTTGTTTAAATAACAAATAAAAATTATCAAATGTTATTGCTTATTGCTAATATCAAAAAAAAAAAAAAAATGAAATAAAATAAAATAAAAATAAGAAATCAATATTATTTTATAATATTTCATATTAAAAATAACATTTAATGAATTAATTTGTAATTTAATCAAAAAATTGAAAAATTTTTCACTCTTCGCAACTAAAAAATTTCGTTTAATTGCATGCATATTCGTAAATATTTGCGATATTTTACTAAATGCGAAATTTAAAATTTTAATCGTTAAATTCTAAACTCTAATTGGATTATTTCAATAAATGAATTCTATCATTTAAAAATTTGAAATATGAATAATTTATGATTAAATTCATTATTCCCTCTAACCCATATTCTATACTCTTTTCTTTTTATCGTTATTTTGTTTAAAATTAAAACTAAAAAAAAAAAAATCTCATTGAAAAAAAGAAAAAAAAAAGTAGGAAAAATTATTTCATAAAAAATAAATTGAAAGGGAAATGAATGAAAAAGAGAGGGACAGAGAGAGAGAGAGGGAGAAAGAGAGAGAGAAATAAGATAAAATTGATAGATTGTCATCTTCTAAAAATGAAATGATATTTAAACAGAAATGATCAAAAAAAAAAAAAAGGAAAGAAATGTCCTTTCTAGTTTTTCGCTTTTTTTTTTTACTTTAAAAAAAACAATTTCCCTCTATCTATTTTTTACCTTTACTTTAAAAAAAAAAAGATGAAATAAAACTGAAATTAGATAATTTTTAGAAAATTAATCATGATGAATTTTATATTCAATCTAGTTGCTTACTGAAGCAAATATAAATTATTAAAAAAAGAAAGAAAAAAGGAAACAAAAAAAAAAAAAAATATAAAAATCTTTCTTCATATTTATGAATTGTATAGCAAAAATTTTTGTTTATGTTTTTTCATTTTTTTTTTTCCGAAATTTTTTTTTCTAATGAATTTAAGTATTTAATAATGATTTGTATAAATTTCTAATTAAACAATTATTGTTATTCTTATTCTTCTTATTATTATCATTATCATTAATTGTTATATACATAGATGGATAATTAAACTAATTTAACCATAAAATTGTTTATCTCTATTTTTTAATCATCATTCCTATTATTACTATTATTATTATCAATATTATTATTATTATTATTATTATTATTATTGTTATTTACAGTAATTTGCTTTTATTTATTAAATATTTCTCAATTGAATAGTGCGCTTTGTACGATATGACAAATTTAAATATTTATTATCACTAAATATAATTTACTAATGCTTATCATTTACATATTCTCTTTATCATTTATGAATATTATAGCTTCATTTTAATAATAATTCTCATTTTCTCATATTTTCTTCACACTCAAATAAATATGACAAAATTATTTAAAATAATATTAACTATCTATCATATATGACAAACAAAACAAAAAAAAATCAAAGTAATAATTATTTATTATAAAGTAAAAAAAAAAAAAAAAATTAATTTTTTTTTCCTTTTAAATATGATTTACATAAGCTAAATTAAAGAAATTTTTAAGCTTTTTTTTTTTAAAAAAAATAACTTTAAACATTTTTTTTATTTTTTTTAATAACTTTTTTTTTTTATTAAAATTCAATATAATATTGAAAAAACAAAAATTTACATTTGAAATGGTTGACGTTCCCTCTTTTACATCTTTAGCAGGTTGAATTAAACTTAACGATTGTTTTGCTATTGAATCAACGTTAATTGTTTGTCCGTTACGAAGTGAACTACCACGACGACGTCCAACACTTTTCCTATAAAAAAAAGAAAAAAAATTAAATTTCAAAAAAAAAAAATTAATATATATAAATTTGTTTAAAAAAAAATAAAAAAAAAAAACTCAGCTAAAATGATATATTGAAAATATTTTAATTTCTTCATTCTTTCTTTTTTTCTTAAAATTGAGTTATGACAATGTAAATTTTAAACTTTAAACTCATTTATTTATATTTTAGAAATTGTTAAATTGATTTAAAAAAAAAAAAAAAAATTAATGTATATTAAATGAAATTATTATTTTTTTTTAATCCTTTCAAATGCTATAAAAATAATGCATTAAATGAAAAAAAAAAAAGAGAAAAATTGTAAAAGATGAAAATCCCTTCTTTATCTAAAAGAATGCAATGCATCATCAAAATGCTCGATAAAATGAAAAGTACAAAAATGAAATTTAATAAATGAAAATAAAATTGGAATATTTTTTTGTAATGTTAATTTAACTAATTAAAAATTAAATGATAGTTATGATTAAAATTTCAAAAATTAGGAGAAAAAAAAGAAAGCGAAAAAAAAAAAAAACAAAAATGAATAATTAGTATGGGAAAATAAATGATGTAATTAAATAATAAATGATAAAAAAAAAAGTAATCAGCACTAATCAGTCATGATAAGTACATATATATAAATCTTACAAAGTTATTTTAAACCAAATTTTCATTTTTTATTTTTATTTTTACTTTTTTAAAAAAAAGAGAAAAAAACAATTAATTGTTAACAATTTATTATGACTGATAAATGTTGGCAACAATTTTACAATATTTGTAATAATAATCATTATTTGATGATAATAATAATGATAAGAAATATTTATTATTATCATTATTATTTATAACATTTTATTAAATTCTAGCAATTTCATCGTTTTCTTAATAATCCTTTCTTCCTGTAATTTCGAATTTTATATCAGAAAATAAAATTACATAACTTAATTATATTATTTAAAAATATAAATTTTAAATTGCATAATCTAATAAAAATTGTGCAAAATTTACCATCCTTCCTGCTTTTTCAGTTTATTATTAATAATAAATAATATAAAATAAATTAATAATAAATAATATAAAATAAAATTAAGAAAAGTAAAATATAAAAAAAGTTAAAATAGTAAATTATTACAATTCTATTTCTAAAAATAATTGCAAATATATACTTAATAATTAAATAATCAAATCTTATCAATTTTATCAACAAAAAAATATATATTAAATTTAACAAGGAATAAAGAGACATGAGATAGAAAGAGGGAAAAAGAGAGGGAGAGGGAGAGAGAGAGAGAGAGAGAGAAAGGAAAATGAAGAATAAAATAGCTAAAAATAATCGTAAATAGAAAATGATAACAAAAAAAAAGAAAAGAAATGACTTTTCCGTTTCTTTCATTCCCATATTTTAACACATTTTCATCTTTTTTTCTCTTCCTCCTATTTCTTTCTTTTTTTTTTTTTTTTAAAATGCATTTAATTTTAAAATGAATGAAAAAAAAAAAAACTTTTTTTTTTCCTTCTTATATTATATGCTGCAATAAAAATGAATAATAATTGATGAGCACAAGAGAGAGAGAGAGAGAGAGAGAGAGAGAGAGAGAGAGAGAAAAAGAAAAGTTTACAGGATTAAAAACTATTTCAAATAGAAATTAATAAGTTTCAAAAGTTTTACAAAATATTATTCTTTTCTTATCAATTTTTTTTCACAAAAAAAAAAGAAAAAAAAGTTATTATAAATTAAAACATATGTATATCTATGAGAAGTGTACACTTTATAAATTGATAAGTTTAGAGAATACTAATAATCAAATAAATGAATAATTGTAAAAAGAAAGAATTTTTCTTTTTTATTTTTTTTGATTTTATTTTACATTTCTTTTTTAAAAATTGAATTTCCCTTTTCGATTATTTACAAAAAAAAAAAAAAATTTTTCACAAAAACATTGTTCATTGAAAGTTTTTCCATTCTCTTTAAATTCTTTTTAAATATTTAACTATTACTACTCCTATATCATTGAAATATTTAATTTTTTTTAAAATTTTTTTTTAGTATGAAATTTAATATGAAAAATATTTAATTAGTATGAATATTATAGCATTCTCAGAATTTATCAATTTATAAAATATTTTTCACAGATAAAATAAGTCTAAAATTATTCTCCATTTTCATCTTTTTTTTTTTTTGAAATTTAATTATTTTATTTGAAATAATATTATGAAATGAAATTATGCAAATTGTCACATGTCATTGCAACCCGGAAAATTTGAATAATTGTTTCAGATAATTAAATATGATAGCAATTATAAAATATTAATGAAAAATAAATAAATAAAAGAGAAAACACATGATTATCACATTATTTGCTAATAATTTAGATGCTAACAGAGGAAGGGAGAGAGGGAAAAAGAGAGAGAGAGAGAGAAAAGGGAAAATTTTAAGCTTTATATTTATCTTCCATTCTCTCTCTCTCTCTCTCTTTTGCTCCCTCTTTTTTCTTCCAAAATTAATTTAATATCAAAATTTCAAAACTATTATATCTTTCTCTCTTATTCTTATAAATGGTAAAATTTGATAAGTAGTTCCTTTCTTCGTTTTATTTTCATTTAAACTCAAAGAATGCGTTTTTTTTTTTTTTATTTTTTGATTTAAATAAATGAGAAATGTTTGTCAATTGATCATTTTAAGTTATTATTAATTAAAAATAATAAATTAACAAAGAATTAATCTAAGATTAAAATGATAAAATATGCCTAATCAATATGCATTAATCAATTTTACTAATAAATCAATAATCGACTTTTTCAATTTTTTATCTCAAATTTTTAGTTCAATTTTCGATATCAATTAAAAATATTGCTCGATGACCTAATTTAATTCAAATGGATAAATGTAAAGTTAAAAAAGAGGAAATTATTTGTCATTATCACAATTAATTCTTTCAAAAAAATAAGAGTATGTTTTTTTTTTTTTTAAATTGAAAAAGACAAATATGAAAAAGATTAGTAAAAGTTTAAAAGTTTTTGCAAAACGATTATCAAACTAACTAAATTATATTATTCACAAAGGTCAAAGGTTAAACATTCATCCGTTAATTGTAACTTTTTTAGGAAAAGAAAAAGAAAAAATTTTTTTTGCAATGTTAACTATATGGGATAATTACATCTAATTAAATCTTGAAATTGTCATAAAATAATTTTCTTTTAATCACTTTTTTCATTTCAAAAAAAAAAAAAATTTTATCATTTTATATCAAAAAGTTATCGTTGTATGAGATAAAATTGATTATTCATTAGCTAAAATAAATTTGAATATATCTTCAAAAAAAAAAAAAAAAAAAAGAACGTCCAATTATTCTATTTTCTTTCTTTTGTTTTTTTTTTTTTTTCCCAACAATTTATTAAACTATATTAATTATCAATAAATTATATAATTAAAATATTTGTATTTGAAATTATTTTCATACAATTAAAATTAAATTAATGAATTGCAAAAAAAAAAAAAGTAATTTAATACACAAAAATATTTATTAATAAAATAAAATAAATTATAATTAAATATAATTTTAATCAAAATTATTATTAATAATTTTTTTTTTTTTTTTACCGTGGTGGTAGAAGAAGTGGTGCTTTAAAGCAAGAATCATCAAAAATTTCTTTGCTTGTATTTGATGATATTGTCGTCGCATTAGTGGTATTATTTGTCGCATTTGTCTCCTCCTCAACACATATCGATGTTTGGTCCTTCTCCTTCATACCATTTATTGCATCAAAATTTTTTTATCAATTTTTCAATTATTTGATTTTTTTCACCCAAAACATTCAAATAAATCACCAAAAAAAAAAAAACAAAACAAAACAAAAACAAATTATTGCAATTATTTGTTATAGAGTTATAAGTAAATAAATAGTATTCGTAGTAGTAGTAGCAGTAATATTTCCTGTTATTGTTATTGTAGTAGTTAACAGTAGTAGCAGTAGCAAATTAAGAATAATATTTCTTGTTGTTGTTGTTGTTGTTGTTTACAACAGTATGCTAATATTGTTGTTGCTGCTATTTATTTTGATAATTTGCCGTCGTAATAATAGTCGTATCAGTAGTAGTAGCAATAAGAGCAGCAGCAGTGATAATGATAATAATAGTAATAATTAGTGGTAGTTGTTGTAGTAATAGTAATAATTGTAATAATAATTTATAATAATTGGAAGAATAAATTAATTGAAGCAATAATAGAGATAGTAGTAATATCTTTGTGTGAACGATATTAACACACTAATTAATATTAATATGCTTCAATATTGATATTTACAGATGTAAAAATCTGAAAATTAAAAAAAAAAATTTTTTTTTTTTGTTTCCTTTAATCAAATATATTCACATATTTACGTATGAAAAAAAAAAAAAAAAAAAAAAAACAAACTGATAAATTAAATTTAAAACATAACAATACATTTAATTATATTTAACAGAAAAAAAAAAAGGAAGGAGAGAGAGGGAGAGAGAGAGAAGAGAAAAAGAAAAAATTTTTAATATAAAGTTAATTAATACGATTTTAATTAACAGTTTAAATTAAAGCAACAATAAATTTGCACGCTATCGCATTGTCACCGCTTAATCGATAAAATAATAGTAGCAAAAACAAAGAGAAAAAAAAGCTCTAAGCGAAAGGTTAAAGGTCAAAAAGGACAAACATTATGAAACAAATCATCACAGTAGTAAATTAGTTTAAGAAATCAAACAAAATCTTTTGTAAATTTTTTCATTCATTTACAAATATAAATTACTAATGTATGTATCATAGTAATATAACAGATTATATTACTTAAAAAAGAAAAAATAAATAAATAAAAATATTAATAATAAGGATGATAAATGATAATGATAATTTGTAATAAACTGAATGCTAATCATATTAGAAAGTATTCAAGAAAAATAAAATTTTCAAATGTTTGAAATTTTAGAAGTAACAACACCAAAGTTAATTAATTAATTAATTAGTATTCTAAGCTTTTCTCCATAATCTATCATAATGCATTATTAAAAATAAAAATTATCATATATAATTTATCATATAATAACAAAATTATCATATATAATTTAACTTAATATTAAATTAAAAATTCATATAAATATACATATTACTAATTTTAGAATTTATAAAACATTTGAACGAATAATTTATCAAAATTAGCGATTAAATTTTAAATACAAACAAAACAATACTGTTTGTTATCGTTATATACTTATTGTGATAACTCTAATTATTTAACCTGATTAATTAAAAAATTAAAAAAAGAAAATTGAATGTATTAGAATAAAATAAAAAGGAGAGAGAGAGAGAGTGGGAGGAAGGGAAAGAAAAGAGTAAAAAGGGAGAGAGAGAGAGAGAAAAAAAAGAAGAGAGGAATTTATAGTTGAGAATATATTCATCCGATTCAAATAAAATGAATAAATTTCGCTGAATTAATTTAAAAAAAAAAAACCAATTATTACTACTATTTATGCATTACAAAAATGTTTTTCTTTTTTTTTTTTTTTGAATGATTTCCTTTTTTCAATAAGAACATTTTTAATCGAAAAATTTTCGTAGTTTCAATAAATTTCAACAATTTCATCGAATTTTTAAATTGTTGACAACAGAAAAGTAGCTAAAGAGAGAGAGAGAGAGAGAAAGAGAAAAAAAAAGACTAAACTAAATATTATTTAATAGTTCTCTATCTATCTACCTGCCCTGCCTGTCCTTCTTTTCATTTTATTACGATGACATTTTTAACAATTTCAAATCTTTTCCTATGCATTAAATTTAGCATTCCCATATTTTCCACATTTCTTTCTTTCTTTTTCCATTTTTAATTTCACATTTAAATCAAATAAAATATTCGAAGAGAGAGAGAGAGAGGGAGAGAAAGGAAGAGAAAGAGAGAGAGAGAAAATGTAAGAGCAAAAGAATACGATGAAAAGGAAGAAATGCAAAACAAGAAGAGAGATTTAATTGAAAATAACAAATTTCATTTAAAATTTAAGATTTTTTAAATTAGAAATGAAAACAATAATTTGTATATGCAAATAAGACAGACGTTGAGAATATTATAATTTATCGTACAATTAAGTAATATTCATAAATTATGTAATGCTTAATTATATAGTACAAAATTATACGAATGCTTTAATAAATATCATAAAGGAAATGCATTTTGTTTAATTATTATACAAAATTTCATTCAAACAATTTAAATTATTATAATTAAACAAAATTAAACGATAAATTAAATTAAATTAAATAATATTTCAAACAAAAAAGCAAAAAAAAAGAAAAAATTCATAATTTTATTACAAAATATATATTAATTTAAAACAGGAAACATTTGTAATTTATTAAAGAAAAAAAAAAAAAAAGAAAAAGAAAGAAATATCATAAAATAATAATGAATAAGTCATTAAAGATTTAATAATAAATTATACTAATGCTAATATAATATAATCGTAATCGTACTTTAATGCATAATTGTTGCAGATATTTAATCAATTCATCAATCAATCAAACTAACTAGACTTTCTGTCTAACTGACTAACTAAACAGCTTAGTTTAAATAGCAGTAGCTAAGTTAAATAGACCAATGGAAAAGATTGAATTATTCGATGAGAGAAGAGACCACAGACGGATGCTTAATATAGTTTAGTTGGTTAGTTAACTCGTATCATACATTTATACATATCAAAACTAAACACACTAGGCAGCTAGCTTATTTGTTAGCTAAGTTCAAACTTTGAGCTTTCATCCATAATGCCGTTCTCTTATCATTGCACTAAAACACATCATCTCGTCTCGTTATTATTACTATTATCATTGTTATTATTACCATCATTATTACTATTACTATTATTGTCATTAATATTATTATTCTATTATTATTTATTTATTTACTATTATTATTATTACTATTATTGTCATTATTGTAACTATTATTATCATTTACTATTAATATTCATTTACTTATTATTATTACTATTATTATTATTATTATTATTATTATTATTATTATTATTATTACCATTACTATCGTCATACCACTGCCATTTTCTGATATGTCCTCTAACAATTATAAAATGATAGCGATAGCAACTACTACTACTACTACTATCGCTATCATTCTTATCACTTCACTATCATAATTTCATCACAATTTATCGCCAAAGAAGTGGAACTCATAAACAATGAATTGTTTTTTCATTTTTTTTTTTTTTTTTGACTTATAAACGAAAAGTATAATCTAACAGAAAAAAAAAGTAATATAATTATAACATTAGTGTTATTTCATTTTCAATATTCTATCAAAAAAAAAAGAAAAAACGAATTAAAATCAATGAAAATAATATGTTAATTGAATTTGAATAAATAAGTAAATCAATAAAATGTGGAAAATTTTTGTTAATAAATAAAATACTATATTATAGTATGAAATGATAAGAAAAATAAAATAAATGATTAGAAAATTTGGCATGATTAATTCAAGAATGCATCAATATTATATTAATCAAATGAGTGTGATAAATCTTATCATTTTTTTCTTTCTTTCACTATTATCACTTTGATAACAAATTATTGGACAACAAAAAAAGAAAGAAAAAAAACTCAATCTTTTCCAATAAATTTATTACATATGAAAAAAAGAAAGAAGACAAATATGAAATATTATTGCTATGAATTGATAATATCTAAAAGAGAGAGGGAGAGAGAGAGGGAGGAAGAGAAGAAAAAAAAAATAAAAATAGTCGATTTGAAAAATGAAATGAAATATGTAAAAGTATATATATTACATTTATAAAATATTGAAATTGCATAAGATTCAAATAAAATTAAATCAAAAAAAAAAATTGAATACTATTTAACATTTCTTCTGCTGAACCTAACTCCTCCGCCCTGCCCTCATCTTAAAATATTTACAAGTTTTTTTCTTTTTCTTTTTCAATCGAAATGATTAATATCATTGCATCAAATATACATAAATATATATATATATTCCTATATCCAAGCATTACATTATTATTTGTAAATCAATTCAAAATGATAAAAAAAAAAGAAATTTTTTTTTTCCAAATTTGATTTATTTTCTTTTTTCTTTTTCTATAATAAAAGAATTATGTAATAAGAGAAATTTAAATTAGAAATTATAATGTAAAAAGAAAAAGAAAGAAAGAAAAAAAAAAATGAAAACAGAGAAAAGTCGATAAATAAACGAGAATTATTGAAAAATTAAATTTTAAAAAATCTAATAATTATATGACAAATACATGAAATATGATTTAACATGCTAAAATATACTTCGATCAATCAATTAATCAATCAATCAATCAATCGATTAATCAATCAATCAATTAATAAATCCATATTTTAATATTACAATAAAATTAGATAAATCGATATGACCGTGAAAAAAGAGCTACGAATTATATGAAAAATTTGATAGCGAACGTTTATTTCTATGCCATTTATTTGTTTAACAATAAAACATTACGTATTTTAATCGAAAAAAAAAAGAAAAGAATAAACATACATACACACACACACACACACACACACACATACATACATAAACATACACACATACACACACATACATAAACACAGATCTGATCATTCATACCTTCTGAATCAAATTAATATTCAGAATTACTCTCAAACATTTAGCAAATGAACGAAAGGTAAGATAATTAGGAAAAGAACAACATTTAGAATCATTCATTTACAAATTTT